TATTTCCAGAAGGTTCAGAAGATTTGGATATCCCATTACTTCATGCACAGGAGTGATTAATTGAGCGCAAAGCCCTACTTTCACCCCTCTTCTGCATCCCTTGTGGTCCAGACCAAGCCCTCTCCGACCTGGGTCCTGCCTGTTCTGTGTTGGTGCCTAGTTGGTTGCTGTGGCAGCACTGTGGCAACGCAGTGCCCATTGGTGATGTCACTTGTTCTGAAGGAGCCCAGCTGCAGGTCAGTCTAGCAGCTCCTTCCTGCCAGCTCTTTCTCTCCACAGCAGCAAAATGGCTGGGCTAGAAGAATCTTTCCATAAATTTGCAATATTTGGTGACACAGCTGCCAGTGGCAACAACATGACAGGAAAAAACTTCTCCAAGATGTGCAAAGAGTGTGGGGTGATGGATGGAAAAGCTGTGACCAGCACTGACATTGACATTCTGTTCAACAAAGTCAAGTAAGTGAGGCAGTGAGATGCTGTAGGCAAAGGAGCAGCCAGGCACTCGTGGGCAGCCTTGGAGTCTTTCCTTCCTACCTCCACACAGGTTTCCTCCTGGTAACTTTCCCTTTAGTAACCTTCCTCTTCTTTTTTCTGGCCATAGGACCAAGGGTGCCCGCACCATCACTTTTGCTGAGTTCCAGCAGGCCATGAAGGAGATCTGTGTTAAGCGTTTCAAAGGCAAATCACCAGAGGAAGCCCTGCAAGCTGTGTATGGCCTCATTGAGGGGAAGGAGCCAAGCAGCGTAGGCACCACCGTGAGTAGGAGTTTCTTTGTCCACTGTCCACCTGAAGTTGCCACGGGTCCCTACATCCCAAGGGTTATACTTGCTAACAATGGCAAGCCTGTCTGAGCTTGTTCCTAATTCTGGTCTCCTTTCCTGCAGAAAGTCGCCAAGGTAGCTGGGGTCGAGAGGCTGACGGACACTAGCAAATACACTGGCAGTCACAAAGAGCGCTTTGATGAGAGTGGCAAGGGGAAAGGACTTGCTGGCCGTCAGGACTTGACAGACAACAGTGGCTACGTTGGTGCCTACAAGGGAGCTGGCACTTATGATAAGACACACTAGGACTGAACTGCTTAGGGAAGCAAGGATCTTCTTCCTCCAGGAATACATGGGAGAAGAGGCAAATAAAATCGCATGAAACCGACCTTCTGTGTGTACCGTCAATACTGCAATATGACAGGATGGGAATGGCTGGGGTGCACACAGCATGACCAGCAGTGCCTGACCACAGCCTTAAGAGCATTCTTACAGTGCATAGGATGTGATATAGGCCATCCCATATCATAGGACATCCAGATATAGGAGTCCCAGCAATGCTAGTTATTACCTTTTGCCGCTCCTGTTCCCTGGGGTTAAATCTCCTCGCCCATTCATTGCACTTGGCGTGGTCATTCACAGCTATTCATAGCTATTTCCCTGCTTCAAGCTGCTGGCAGCTTGAAAGGGTCTGTGATCAAGAGGAAAGTGAATAACGAGTTAGGACTGACTCTCACCTCCTGCTCTGTGCTCATGCCCTCCTGAGTGTACTAGGGGATGGGAGACCTGGAAGAGGGTAGAAGTGGCATCCAACGGAAAGCCAAGGTGTTTTCCCTAAGTGTTTGGAAATTACTTTTTTTTTTCTCTCAGAACAAGAACTCATCATTAACACTTTAAATAGGCAATAAAATAGTTCTGTGAAACTCAGATTCAAGCCACACTGGATCCACCAGCCCTGCAGGTTGCTAACACCCAGACAGGTCAGCACGCAGGCAGTAGATGCAGGCACCAGCAGTCTCACAGCCATATCAGTTTCCAGGCTTTGTGTGGTGGTGGGTGCCTCCATTCCTCCTTGCTGCACTTCAAACAGCTTAGGACATTTACATTTTGTAGAGGACAACAAAGGTTCTACTCAAAACCCAAGCAAACCTTCATTATATTTCTTTGTTAAGGCCTCAGTTTCCTTGTAATTAAATCATACAAGAAATAGCCTACGTGAAGTTCTGCCAATGCATACAGGAATGTGTTGTAATAGTAGGTTTTTTAGTTGTTGTTTTTTAGGGTTTGTTTGTTTGTTTGTTCGAATATAGCTGGCACAAAAAAAGCTGTGTGAACATAGGGAACAAGCCGAGAGCTTTGTACTCATGTTTGTGTACTGAGTTCTGTGAGTTCTGGTTTACATTATCTGGCTACAGCGTGACACTGTAGAGTGAATTTCTGAGACATGATTCAATCCGTACTTCATCCTGTAATCTAACTTGTGCTGCACTTCAGCTCCAGAAGAATCCCTGGCTTGTCCTGCCAACTCCTTATGAGCAGAAACCACAAAAAGATGCGGAATGTCACGCTTGCTCCTTCCAGTAGCTACAGAGCAGACAGATGGAAAGGAAGTCATGTTGAATAAGGAGTTTAAAAATAGTACCTATTGCCTATATTGCTATGTGATCCTGGGGAAGATTAAAAAATATATATGTATGAATCAATGACAGCATCAGTAACACATCTGCAAAAGAAAGAGAGAAAAAAAAAAACAAAAAACATTTGTTCTCTAGTACCTTGAAAACCTGCAGAAATATAGAAGATACCCCACTGCAAAGTAGGGTAGGAGGCTCCTGTCACACCACTGCCATCTGGTGCCAAATTTCTCTACCATTTTGTATCTCCTTTAAAAAGAGGCCATATTGCCTAGCAAAACAGGAAGGTTCGGAGTCATCCCCTGGCATAGGCAGGAGTGCACTGTTGATCTTCTCCTGGTGCTGCCTGCCCCCTGATCTTTGTGGAGGCAAGGATGGCTGCTGTACTCCTCTGCTGCTAGAAGAGCTGTACAAACTGCTGGATTTGGGGGATCTAATAGGAACAGTGGAAACCTCACTGAAATCAGAATGGTACTCATCTAGGAGTTTATACTGAACTATGGCTAAGATCTGTCATGGAAATGCAGAGAAACACTGGCTTCAAAATATGTATCTGTTGGGGAAAGAAACATTGGACACGCTGTCAATTTACAACCATGGTAAAAGCAATCAGGATAAAATACCCCTGAATCCCGCTCCTTGGAAAACTCAGTGAGCTGGTAACTGTGGTATAGCTCTTCACATCCCTCCTGTTCCTGGCTTCCAGTCTCTCCTATGCAGTTTTCTTGCTGTCTTCTAGAAATATGACTCACAAACAAGCTCAGTAATTCTTTGCTAGCTGGTCACTGCTTTAGGATATTGGAGCATGTTGCCTGATATGCTAGTCAGACAGGAATCACGGGACTGACGAAATCTGCACACAGATTAGAACAAGATCTGAAGACACAGCTTTATGACTGTGAAACAAGGGGAGGCAGTAGCACAAGCAGTCATCTAACACAGAAAAAGATAAGAAAGTACAGATGCATGTGTGTAATGGTTTTAAAAAAGAAAAGTCTTCACACTTTTTTTTTTTTTTTTGGCAATGCTGCAGGATGATTGCAGGATCATTGCAGGATGCAATGAGCATTCCTGCAGAGTGATGCTTGCACTGCAGCATGGGCTGTTGGCTCACACTATTTGCTGTGGTACTGTTATATCTTTGCACCAGCTGAACTGGGGAATGCAACACCTAGGTCTGACACAAGGTGACACACAGCATGCCAGGCAGGCAGCTCAAGCTGTGGCAATGGGACACACCCACAACAGGCACTCAGATTCAGCAACAGAAGGCATCTAGGTGCAACCAGCTCTTGGCCTAACAGCTCAAGGCATCTACAGTGGTAGATGACACAGGGAGTTAATGGTCTGTGTACCTTTACACTGGGCTGGTCATCAAAGTGATATTTAAAATCAAAATCATGAATATTAATGAACAATAATGTGTAATGCTTGCCCTCATTTTCCTTGCTTCTCTGATTGAGCACATCTCCTGCCTCAGGAAACAGTGGTTAGGCTTGATGCAGAATTAATGATAGGCTGAGAAAGCCAGTGAATGTTTGCCTCAACTGACACATATGCAACAGAAAAGGAAAAAAAAAAAAAAAAAGGATACTTATGCATAATGTTAGCCTGGCTTCAGAGAGCTCCAGGTAATTGGTGCTGCTTTCAGTGAGGTTATCAGTGCATTGCTTTGACTGTTGTTTCACTGGAATTCATGGTGAACTGCAAGCCTGAAGGAAGGTGTGCTTGCCAAAGGCCTACCTCTTTTTCTACCATTAACCAACAATTTATTTCCCTCCGCACTCTGCCTTTCTGATCCTTGCTGCATGCCTCCCACATTCCTCCTCTCCTTTTCCAGCTCTGAGGCTGGCTGCAGACTTCGGGGTATCAAGGAAGGCTGGTGCCCCACTGACTACCCTCAGCTGCAGCAGAAGGACTTGGTGCTGAGCCTGGCTACTCCCCAGCACCGCTAGGCCTATCTGCAGGGATGGCCACGACCAAACATGTCATGCCATAGCTTTGCACTGCACCACACTGTGCAGCATTGGCACAGACCTGGGATATGGATCACAGTGAGTATGAGGTGGCTTTTTTCCCTCCAAGCCTGGGACTGTTTTGCCTCCTGTGCTGTTCTTCACTGTGGTCATCAGGAATCATGTGGTTATTCTTTTTTTTTTTTTTTTTAAATCATTTTCTGCATGATATACAATGGTTTTGTCCTCATGAAATGTAAAGCTGCTAATTTGAATTGCTGACTTAATATCCCTTGTATTCAACATAGCTACAGCTTTTATCCTTTAAAAAAATTATGTGAAATATTCTTGTATGGACTTGATCTTCAGGCTGTGTCCATTTAAATCCTGGTAAGTCCTCTGTCAGTCCATGCCACACTCACACTCTTCCACGCGCCTGTGGGATGTACTCTGTAGTGTGCTACTGCAATTTCCCGCTTACGGCATCACATACAGAGAAAGGATCACAAAGAGCTTCAGAAATACTTTGCTAATATCCACAACCAATCATTCACAGTATAAATCATTCACAAACTGTACTCATGTGGAGCTCTGCTTTGCATCAATCAGTAAATAGATTAGCAAGCTCCTCTGTGCTGCACTGACACAGTAAGAACGAGGACAGGACAGACTGCCAGCAATAGTCATACAAGCGCATCAGCCTAAAAGCATTCATGTATTGCCACCTCGTGGCAGGGCCATGTACAGCTGCGTCTTCAGCGTTCCACAATAATCATAGCATTCAGCAAGTATACAAGCTTTGCACACCAGCAGCAAATTCAGGAATTTGAAAAATTCTTGTTAAAACAATGTATCTTCTATAACAATGCATTTAATCTCAATTTTAGAAGTTATTTCACAATATTTTATATTCTTAATATAATTACAGTATAGTGAAGCTGAGAACAATTAAGTAACACTAGAAAGAGACATTTGCTGCAAAGAAAGAAGAAGAACTATTCCTTCAGTTTTCTTTAACTTTCCTGTATGTGGTAAAACTTAAACACACACATATATTGCAGGGAAATACTGCTGTTACTCACTGGACGTACAATTGGCTTTGATTTCTGCAACTGTTTTGCAACTGTTATCCCCATGAATGTTCTAATTGCACATGTAGAGCTTGACAGCTTCTCTACAACAAAGATAATGCTAAAAAATGGCTATATATAATCAGAAGCAACATCTACACAAGCAGTTCTTGTAGAAAAATGTTTGTTAAAAATAAATCAAAAAATGAAATCATCATCAATGTAAGTTACATCTGAATCACATTTAAAACATGACCTTAACACTCAGTATCTTTCAGTAGAATGTACTTTCTGAAGTATCTTGCACTGGATTCCCAAAAATTAAACTACCAAAATCACTTGGCTTTTATTTTAAAATAAACCATAAAATTAGTATGAAGAAATACATTGCTTCACAGTAAATCCAACATTTTTATAGCTATATTTTATTCATATTATTTCACTTTCTCAATGTAACTGCCCCAAAAATATCATTTCATTGCTAAGAATGTCTTGTTCACATAACAATTAAAAACATATGTTCCAAACATCTGTATGCAATAGGTATATCTAACTCTAAATCTTACTTTTCATATTCCTCTAATATCTCTGTATCTGGTAGACTCCTGAAATATACAGAAGTGTCAAATGTCTGCTTGTGGGGAACACAGAGAAAAAATTTTGATTTCTAGAATATTTAAAATGAGATTGAACAAAAATACATGCATGTAAAAATTGGGGACAGAAGTTGATTACATAACTTATATTATCACTGCTATACCTACACAGTACTGGAAACTCTGCTTGGAGCATCACAAAAAATATGGTAAGACAGACACCTTTTTCTGAGATGTTCACAAGGATTAATAATGCTAGAATTTAGGAGAGGACAAAAGTAAAGTGAATATCCATGAGCCTATTACAAAATATTTGAGCTGGGAGTGAAATTGAGGTTCAGAATTTATAAGATGTGGTGAATAACCACATATGCTTTTGAAGAAAGGTTTGAAAAAAGATATGGTTCTGCTTAAAATGCAACACAAGAAGCTTTGGTATATCCAAAGACAATGTAAAAGATGTATCTAAAGAAGGCTGAAACAACATGAAGGAAAGTTGCTGCTCCTTCAACTTTCGAAGCACAACTGTCTTTTCAGGAACTGCAATGATGGACTTCAGGTTAAAAGACAGAGTAATTGCTTTAGGTGCTGATACCTTTTGTCCCAAGGTGAGAGCAAGCCCTTGAATTTGCTGGTTTTACCATTAATAAAGTAACTCCCAGTTAGGGATTCCAAAAGAGATGAGGAAAGAGAGGAACTGGTAACACCTAATGAAGTAGATGATTCCTTTTATTTTTCTATATTTTAGAAATTCACATCTCCCAGCTCCTGACTGCAAATGTTACTAACAAAAAGAATTTGGTTATAATGGTGGGGGTAAAATCAAACCCAATGTTAGTCAAAGTGACTGACACTATCATAGTGAATTTTTTTTACAGTGAAAAATGTTTATGCTGTTCTTTCTCAAATAGGGAGAAGACTGGAACAACGCAATTTGAGAGCTAAGAATATTAACAACAAAAAATTAAATCCCCATCTGCACTCAAATATGTAACAGGAAGAAGGCTTTAAATAGGTTTTTTACATGACAGAGGAATGTAAAGACAATTAAGCTGTAAATAAAATGGACATAATGGAAGTCTATGCATCTGCACTTATGTTGTGCTGCTCTTCTCTGGAGCTCAATATTCCGCAAGAAAGCCAAAAAAAAAAAAAAGGCAACCTCACACACAGAGCTTAGCTATCCACTTTATATGGCGAAGGTGACTACAAAAATAAGTCACTTAGTTTCAGAATCTGAACTGCTTCTCTTTGCTGAAGAAAGGCAAGCTGCTGTTCCCACTGTTAGTGGGAAATGTCGTAATAGTAGTTCCGTAATCGCAACTCCACAGAAACGAATCCTGGTCGGTCATCAACACTGTGGAAACATGACAAGTATCACCACACAGGACTGAGAAAGCTGAAGATGTATGTAGGCCCTACAATAGCTGGGACTTCACAGCAGTGACAACTCCTAGAGGCTGCTACAGTACTTTAAGGCTACCAAAATGTTGCTATAAAATATACCAAGAGGTTAATATTACTGCTACAGTTCAGTCAGTAGATTTATTGTCATCAAAGTTATTTTGTGGTTGTGGAAGGTACTATAAGAAATGGTAAATCAGCCTTAATTAATTTGCTACTTCATTTACTTCAGTAATAATCTAGAGAAAAGAATACTTATCATGCATTATCTTCCTTATAATGAGTTCTACAACCATACAGATAAGTTTTGTGCCATTAAGAATAGATGCTACACGGTTGTATTGTCTTGATTTCCTCTGTATCTCACCTCTTTTGATTTGGGAGAATATTATTAAGCTGACAAGAAGTTCTGACAATAACGTGTTACATATTGAAATAGTTGCACTGTGTAAGCTGAACATTCTTTTTTTTTTTTTTTTTTTTAGTTTTTTTTCCCTTTCAAATATTTGGGATATTCAAGTACAAACAAATAAAAATCAATATCCTTTATAGTACCTTTACTAAACTTAATGAAAGTGATTCTGTTTCACTCTACAACTGCTACTACTTTACTGTAGTACAGAAAAAGGGCAGAAATTATTTAATGGTTCCATGTTCTTTCTAGAATACTGGATGTAACAAAACTAAGAAAGAAGCAAGGTTCCTAGGAGGGAAATAACATAACTCTTGAAATGGAACCTGAAGATCTTTAGTGAATATATTATTCACATATTCTCCAGATGGTGAATTGGAAGAGTAAGCCACATTACAGTGGACTTTCTTTGCTTTATGGAAACCCTTCTACAGCTAAAGATAACTTCAACAAAGGAGTTCCACTCCCAGTCTTTACTTCAGTTTGGGATTGCTCCTGACCTACATGCAGCACCCTGCATTTGGCCTGTTGATCCTCATTAGGTTCACATGTGCTCTTTTTTCAAGCTTGTCCAGGTCCCTCTGGATGGTATCCCTCCCTTCTATTGCAACAACCACACTACTCAGCTTGGTGTCAACTGCAAAGTTGCCGAGAGTACACTCAATCTCACTATCTAAGTCACTGATAAAGATATCAAAGAGCATTGGTCCCAAGATTGACCTTCCTGGCCACCATTCATCACCAGTCCTCCATCTGGACAGAGAGCTGGTGACTGTAACTCTCTGGCTATCCTGCCAATTCCTTATACAGAGATTAGCTCACCCTTCAATTTAGATTTAGCAACATAATGTGGGATCATATCATAGGCATTACTCTAGGTCTATGACATTGGTTGTCTTTCCTTGTCCACTAATGCAGTCACTCCATCATAGAAGGCTACCAGATTGGTCAGGCACAATTTGCCCCTGCTGAAGCCATGCTGGCTGTCTCAGATCATTTCCTTGTCTTGCATATTCCTTAATATAGCTTCCAGGAGAACCTGTTCCGTGATCTTCCTAAGCACAAGCTCATCATCTGTAGTTCCCCAGATCTTCCTTTCTACCCTTCTTAAAAATGGAAGAAATGTTTTCATTTTTTCCAGTTACTGAGACATCAACTGACAATTATGACTTTTCAAACATGGTAAGAGTGGCTTGGCAAATACACTGCCCAATTCCTTCAGAACCCTGAGATGCATGTCGCTGGTTCCCACAGACTTGTACATGTTCTATCTCATCAGGTAGTCTTGAACTTGCTCTTTTCTTACACTGGGAAGGATTCTACTCCTCCAACCCCTACCTAGAAGTTCAGGGACCTGAGAAACGTTGGAACCCTGACTGCCAGTAAAGGCTGAGGCACAGAATTTGAGTACCTCAGCCTGATGGCCTGTAGTAGACCCCAACCAGCAGGTGCCCCTCATTGGTCTGGTCCCTAATTTTAGCCCATGAGGTCACAATCATGGCTGTTTCCCAGTGGCAGCTCTTCACAGTCTAACCACCATTCCTACTTTGCTTGTCCCTTTTGAAAACCTTGTAACCGTCAATCACAGTATTCTCACAATGCGATTCATCTCACCTTGTTTGCATGATAGCAATAGCAATTAGGCCACTGTACCACAGTTTCCATCTCCTCCTGCTTATTTCCCCTGCTGTATGCACTGATGTGGAGGCACTTCAGCTACTGGCAGCACTACCTTCCTGGAGGAGACTGCCAAAAATTCTCTGGGACAACTCTAAGATTTTAAGGCTTTTCCCCGCTGCTTCCTAAATGATGGTGCTCTCTAGTTCAGCTCTGTTGCTCAGTTCTCCTAATACATCCAAATACAGTAAGTTTACTGCCCAGAACACTATAACCCCATATGGTCAGTTGCATCCCATCTAACATATCTGGTCTCTCAAAGGTGCATCCAAGATCACGGAACCCAAAGCCCTGAGTGCGGCACCAGCCAGACAAACATTTATTCAACTGATCTTTATGCATCTCCTCCCATGCCCAGTTACTAGAAGGAAGAGAGGAGAGCACTACATTCCCAAACCCTTCAACATCTTTCTGAAAAACATAAACTTTCTTTTGATAGTTTGGAATCTCCTCACTGTAGTCTCCTCTGACCCTACTTGAAAGTGTAGAGATGGGTAATAATACTCTAGCTTTAACAGGCATTGTAGCCTCTTCTTGATACTACAAATGTGGGGTTCTGGCAGGCAGCAAACCTCTTTAGAGAGATGGTATGAGTGACAAATGGGTGCCTCAATGCCTTCCAGTAAGGAGTCTCACTTACTAACATCCTTCACACTGAGCCCTGTATCTGTTTGGTTGGGGTATTCTGGGGGCAAAGGAGAGACCTGCCTTTCTGTTCTGAGCAGTTTCTCTTGTCTTGTGCGGTAGTGCAATCCATCACCTCAGATCTGGATAGATATTTACCTTCCCCTTGCAGGTATTTAAAACTTTCACTAATAGGAAGTTCATGTGGGATCCAAATTGAGGACATATAGAAATAACAGAAGGAAAAAAATGATCAAAAGAATTAAAAACTGAGAGATAGAATGAATAATTTGACAACAAGACTTTGAAATTTCTGTCCTGGAAATCAAAATGAAACAAGAATGTTTCCTTAATTTTAAACTTACTTCTCCAAATATATCAGACTGACATTTTGGTGGAGTAATTATTTTTGATGGAATAAATTGTTTTTGCTGATACACCATTTTTTGTATATTTTTGCTCAAGCAATAAACAGATCATCTGTGTAAAATCAGATTCCTGTACTATACTCATTACTTCACATTTTCTCTTTTGAAAGCACAACTGACTCCTTCCTTTTCAGACTGTTTGTAAGCTGAAATCTAGCTGATACAATATGCTTTGAAATATTCTTACTTCATGCTTTCTAGCTACCAATCAGGTAGATTAAAATATACCACTATTAAAAGAGACAGTATCAGATCACACTCACTTGTACGTCCAACATAATTTCATTAAGTCATAGACTTCCACTGGACAGGCTTCAGGACGTTCCATTCGTTCTCCTCTTTCAATCATCTGTGCAACTTCACCGCCTTTCATTCCCTGGAATAGGATGATCAGAGCAGTCTTCTGAGTTGCATATGATTACAGTACATGTTAGTATAGTATAAAAAAAAAAGAAATTGGAGTTGAATTGAGGGCTGTCCTTTGACTTGTCTGTTACAACAGATGGATTCTAAAGCCTTATTTGACCTGTAGTAACCCTTCCAGGCAGGAAAAAAAAGGTGATGGTTTGAATTTTCTCTACATTTTTATATTAAAAGAACTGACAGAAAGAATTACTCACTTTATAGGGCTTTTGCCCATAAGAGAAAGCTTCCCACATTAAAACTCCAAAGCTCCAGACATCACTTTTGCTAGAAAACTTGTAGAAATTCATACATTCTGGAGCATACCACTTGACTGGCCATTTTCCATGACTTTGTGCCTAAAATACAGAATTACAGAAAATAAAAGAAGCAGACTTGAGACAGTAGCGAGTAGTAAACAACACTCATATTCACAGAAGCCAATTTAACTTCAATTTTCATGTTTTCATACTAACTATTTCTGATATAGTCTGCCTTCGAGAAATTGGCAGCAGCTTCTTCAATACTGTTAAAAAATTGTTTCTAATCTCCCAAACTCAAATAAAGCATTGGAATTAATGCTGTGGTAAAGCAAAGCTTAATTAAAGGACCTAACGTCATGTTCATTAAGCTCTGTCAAAGAAAGATTTTTCAACTCTTACAAAAGAGACACCAACTCAGCCAGAAGGAGTCTTGAGCCTTAATTTCAGATTAAGTCAATGCTGTATTTCAGAGCACAGCAACTGCCTTGAGACAAACTGCAATTTGATGACATCATGCTATAACGTGCTACAAGAGCGCAAACGTCAAACCATTCCGGCACAGTGCTTAATCTATTGAGATAACCCTGCAGCATCTTGTGCAGTTGTAAACAGAATGATCCTTGGATACCAGATCTCAACTCCCTGACAAACTAGGCAAGTTGGAATTGATTTAAGATGCTGCTGCCTTTTCTGGCAGCAGTTGCTGGTCCCATAGGAAGGTCATCAGAGGAGAGTATGTGCTTCCTCCTCCTCTGCAGTGTTTCATGGTCTGGCTTATGAATTTTAAACAACTGATGAAAGAAAAGGCAGTCAGATAAAATACTTCTAACTGTAAGAGCAACATACAGGAAAAGAAGATGCATACACAATTAGAGGCTTTAGCTCCCAAGGATATATTTACCTTACTAAATGTGGCACTTATTTTAGTCTCTTTTGCTGCACAAAGATTGTTGAATTTAAAATCAAGCTGAACAAAATTTACCTAGGTCAAATGATTATTTACCATCTGTACCCCTTTGACAAACTCCCCAAATCTGATTCTGTTATTTAGACAGTTTGCTAGCCTGTATTTTCCTTTGACATGGTGTAAACCAAGTGCTAAATTAGTATTTGCAACAAAGATAATCTCAACTTTTATGGAAGGAAATATCTCATTTCCACAGTAAATTTCAATCTTCTAATGGCAAATTTACCAAAGAAATAACTAAATAAGGGACTAGCTTTTCCCTCCCTATTCATCTCTTAACTTTGATCACACACTTTGAAAATTCATGATTACTACTAGGAAACTATAAAATATTTAGTGTACATAGTATTTCTTCCTTTCAACTTTTAAACATAACTGCTCTCAAATAAAAAAAAATCTTCTTAGGCTATATTAGTAAACAGCTTTGACAACTCGTGCAAATCTTACCTTGTAATAATTTTCATCAGCACTAAGAGCCTTAGATAGTCCAAAGTCACTGATTTTGGCATAATGCTGGGTGACTAATAGCACGTTCCTTGCAGCCAGATCCCTATGTACAAAGTTATTCTCCTCCAGATATTTCATCCCCATGGAAACCTGATGTACAAGTTCTGTTATATTCTTTTCTGTGATGTGCCTGAAAATCATAATTGAATCTTTAAGAGGTCAGTAGTTCATTTTCATTTTCAAGGAGTTCAAACTTGTTTGCACATATTACATATATATAATATATTAGTAACAAGATCCATTTATGTTTAGCTAAGATTTAATTAGAACAAGCAATTTAAGAATGTGTTGATCATATCAATAAACTGTGATCATATCAATAAAGAACATCCAAAAATTCTTTCTTTTATTCAAAATGCACTATCTTATAAAAACATTTGACATTTAGGAGACATCTGCAATATAATCACATCCCAGTGAAGATTATCTACAATAGCTAATTATTACATAAAATAGAAAGACGTTTCTCTTGTTTTTTTCCCCCTTTGGATAAATACTATGAAATGGAATCAAAGCTTACACACCTATTTTTTTGCAAAAACTTGTTCAGTGGCCCAAGTTCGGCCATTTCCATTACTAACATCCAGGCCTCTGCTTCACATATACCTATCATTCGGACAATATATGGGTTGTCCAGTTGCTGCATTACATTTGCTTCTCTTAGTAACTCATCCTTTATGGCTGGATCATTACTCTCGTTCTTAAGAATTTTTACAGCCACTGGCTTGGCCCCCCTGCAAAAGAGAATCCCTTGGGATTAGTTGCTGAAAAATCTGCATGTAAATTCATACAATCTCCAAGTTATGTTTCTGCACACATAGTTCAAACAGTGATAAAAGATAGAACTAAATACTTGGACAGGAAGGAATCTGACTGCAACGGGAATAACTCTCTACCAAATGATCAGAAGACAGCTAAGCAAAAGAAATAAAATGGAGAGAATGAAAATTAGAAGTAATCATTAAAAAATCTAAACAAGTCTGAAAAAAAAAGGTACTGAACAAAATTATTTTACCCATTCTAACTATTCTTAACTAAAGAAAGTGGAAAGATGTCCAAAAATGTATCTGTTATGTTGAGAGTCCTCAGAGGAAAAGCTGTAAGGTCTTTCTCAGCACTGATGTGCTTTGGACCTGAGACAATGCATGCAGCATTGCAAAGTCCCAAGGCAAGTGCTCTGACCTGCTGAGAAACTAACGCCTACTCCTGCAATCTACAGCACATGCATGTGAAGATGTCACCGATGAGATGACAGAGGTCAAATGTGAACAATACCGATAAACAAAACTACAGTCCTTCAAATCTCTTCAGACAACACAGGAGAATGAAAATTCCTACTTGATTCTGAAAATCTGGGTTAAAGAACTGCCTCCAGCTTTAGTTGGTGTAAAGCATATACATAAGCTTCCATTTAAGCAACATACTGGTAACGGTTTATTATGAAAATGCATGAATAGTCAGGTGACTTGACTTCTGTCAGTATAAACAGGGTCTGTTCCTACTGTAATTCCGTGATAAGAAAGGTCACAACATCTTCTGTCTGCTTGAAAATCAACATTATAGCTTCATGAAACAGGTACTGATCATACTATTTTAGGTGAAAATCCATTCACTACAGGTAAGCTGTACATGGTTCTCTACACTATCTCTCACAGAGAGACTACGCAGTAACATGAATGACTACACAATTTTTGGAGAAAGGCACAAAGCTTCTTACTCCACTGTAACTGATAGCAGAGTCATAGAATCATAGGAGGCACTTCCCCACTTTGAAGACAAAAATAACAGCTGGGCAGTGACTATGCTGCACTTCCTGAAAACAGAAGGAAACACTTACTTTTTCATCTTATAGAACCCTTTCTTTACAGTGCCAAAGTTGCCAGAGCCAAGTTCTCCTTCCTCTAGGGTTAACAATTTTCTGTCAAGAGTGACATTTTTTGGTTTAATTTCATCTGGATCAGCATACGGACTTTCATAAACCTCAGTGTCCATGGGTAAGGCCTCTCTCTGATCACCTGCAGTTCAAAGAATAAACAAATTAGAGATTATGTGAGACTATGTTGCTTGCACAGTGCTATATGCAACATATCCATGCTCAGTATTAACTGCTCCATCTTTGTGTTTGTCTTAAGAAAGCATTATAAAAAAACCTCATACAGTCCGGCTACACACACTTTAGAACATTCTCATAAAGAATGACTTTTACACGGTGATACCTTCTAACTACTGAGCAATTGCTTAATATGAAACAAGGATGTTTCTTGACAGAAGGAAGGTTAAAGATATGCTCTTCTCCTTAGCACTTCCTGTAAGTGCTCAAACAGTTCTTCACTCCAATTGCAGTATTTGCAGCTTTCCTAAAGCATAGGTATCAGACTGTCAGTGTGAATTCAGTGAGGCACAATTCTCTTTATGAAGCATGAGGATGCAGCTTTTGGAGTCAAGGAGATAATAAGTCTCCACTTCCACATGGAAAAAGGAATTCTTGTTAAATCACTTTTATTATAGACGCTGACATCGGGCTTGAGCTCTGACAGTGATATGCCAATAAACAATATGACATAAAATACAAGCAAGTAAAGAAGAAATATGGGTTGTGGTAAGAGCTCTGGTATAAAGAAAAAAGGTGATATTTGTGTAATAAATTACTGCCTACCTTTCTCCGCTTCTGTTAGACCTCTTGCCCTTTGCAGTACATAAGGATTAAAAGGTGTCTGGTCATCACATGGGGGACCAATAGGTGTCTGGAGCTGTAGCACACAAATAGAATTTTTAAACTGAGCAAAATATAGTAAGTTAAAAACTTTTTTTTTTACAGAAAATTATGGCACGATTGCAAGAGAAACACAGGTGAGAATCAAAAAGTAAGACAGAG